AAGATATATATATATATATATATATATATATATATATATATAGGTAGCATAACTAATTTTCTGTAGGCAGAAGTAGAAACGACGACGGTTAAAACTAAACTACACTAGCAATAATAAAAAGGGATATAAAGATAAAAATTACATTTTCAGCAAAACCCAGCAATATTTAGCATGCTATCGAAATTGAAAAAAGTACATATTAAAAACTAGATGTATTTAGATAAAAAAGATGTATATATAAATCACAGATAAGATGTATATATATGTATATATGTATGCCGTTGTATATGTATATTATTTTAGTTTTGAGAAAGCAATGCTTAATATGCAATAAAAGTATGCTTATTGGTAAAAATTGAAAAATTTGGAAAACTAACATTTTTCTTAAGTTGAATCAAAGTTTTTTTTCTTTCATAATGAAAGTATGCAAAAAGAAATGCACCAGAAATTGTAAATTAAGTTGAATTAATAAAATAATTTATAGTACAGAAAGAAAACAAATTAGAATTAGAGAAAAAAAACTAATTTTATTTTAGTTAACTGATTGAATGCAAATTTTACTGAGTAAAAAGAACATGAAAAATTGCATAATTGAACCAGCTTCAAATAAATATACCTATCAATCAAAATAATATTTTGATAATGAATTAAAAAATTAAAAAGCTTTATTTAACTTGTATTTTAAAACAAAAGCTTCCAAATTAAAATTTTGGAGAAAAGTTTTGTTACAAATTTTTCTAGTAACAAAAGCAGTTTTCAAGGAATTAAATAGTGAAATTTTCTAACTTTTGAATAAGGTATTTGATGATATTTTTTTAAAAATTTTTTGTCACCATTTTCTTATACCTTTATCTAAACTCAAGAAAAAATTTAAAAATATAATTTTTAAAGAAGAAACTAAGAATATTTATACAATATCACAAAGAATATTTATAATATTGTATTGGTTTACAATTAATTCTATTAAAAGCAAATTTTTGTTACTAAATATGACGTTATACCTTTCTGACTGAAAAAACTTTGCAAAATTTTTTTGGAACAGCATTCTGTTCAATTTATTTGAAGATTTTTTTTTGTCATTTAAAGGTATATCAATAAGATTTACACTATTTTCTTTGTTGATAGACAGGACAACATTTTCATCTCATTAATTTATTAACTGTATACATGTGTATATATATGCTACTACATGTGTGCTGTAATTACTATGAGCGACAAAAATCTAAAATGTGAATAAATAAATAAATTTGATTAGTTATCAGTTAATAAAACATCGATAAAAGTTACCATTGCATGTCCATATGATGTCCTCTTTGGGTTATGTTTACCTGTTTGAGCAGCAGCAACAACATAACATTGTGATTCAATTGCTCTAGATCTAAGCATTGCCTAAAATTATGAAATACTAATGTTAATAGCAGAATTATTGATGAAAGACAATTAAAAAACAATATTTTTTTTCATGCATTTCTAGCATGTAAAACAAAAAAATAAGTTCATATAACTTTTACTAAGTTTCTATTTTTTGTGCTAAAGAGAGAAACAAACAAAAACTTTTATGTTTTCATTTAAACTGAAAGCAATAAAAGTTTTGTAACAACTGATTAAAAATATTTACATATTTTGAACTCATACAAATTGCGATTGAAAAGTAATAATTTGTAACAATGATTAATACGTATGAAGGAAAAAGGGGGAGAGCGGTTTCTATCCATTTTTCACAAAAATGATGATTGCACCACCATCTGTTGTATTTGGTGGCTTATTAAGTTTTGAGAAACCAATAATGAAAAAAATTGCCTCTTCTTGAGATTTTTAAACAGTGATGGTGGACTATACTGTAGAAAAACCCTTCACATCTGCGCACAAACTCACTCTTTTTCACGATCAGTTCTAATGCACATGAAATATTTTCCGTTTTGGTCTTCATAAATACTGGAGAAATTAAATTATAGTGAGTCAACAAAAAGGCAAAAATAAAACTTAAAATACCTTTAGCTTAAATTATTTATTATTAATTTATTTAAAGAAATGAAATGCAATTAGTGATTATTTACATTTTTTTCCAACAATTACTGTTCTTAATCTCTACAAATATTTAAAAAATTTTGTCTTTGATTATGAATCAGTTTCAATAAAAGAACTTACTATACATTTTTATTATAATTTCAATGTGGCTAAAGGGTATTATAGTTTTGAAAAATTATAAAAAATAATTGTAATATTTGCTTGAAATTTTTCAGATCAAATAGATTAAGTGTTAGCCATATTGCACTCTTAAAAAATTATTTAAACCTAAACATTTAATAAAGCTTGATAAAAATTTCAAGCAACAAGCATGCAATTTGCTATTTTTGCACTTGTTGTAAGCTAAATTTTTGTAGATTTAACCTATTAACTAAGTTTGAGATATGATATGCATGTTTTCTGTAGTACATACAAACACCGATTTCTTAGCTACGTCACTTAAATCTACATATGCAAAATCCAGGGCCGGATTAAGCGTACGCGGGGCCCTAGGTCATTCAAATTTTTGGGGCCCTTAGATTAAATTTTTTTCTTGTATATTTTTTATTTATTCAAATATAAAAGTATTTATATATCTTTTCATTTAAGAAAGCACATTCAAAATTAAAATAAATAATAATAAATTAAATTTTACTTTATTTTATTAAATTAGAACTAAAAAATAATCATAAAATTTTGAAAAAATGTAAAAATCATTGTTTTTCTTAATTTATTTTCAAAAAATCCATTTAAAGGGGGCCCCTAATCATTGGGGGCTCCAGGCCATGCCTAATCCGGCCATGGCAAAATCAAGAAAAAATACTTTATAATTTCCATAAGTTTAGGTAATGCAAAATTTATTCATAAAAGACAGATAGCTGTGTTATGTTTCTTGGGACGCAAAAAAAAAATTAGAACTGTATATAACTGAATATGAACCCATCCTTTTTCTAAGTAGAGATTATGCTTCTTTGAAAATCCAAATCCATAACCCTATTTAAAAAAATAAGATAGTATCTTTGTGGATAAATTTCAACTTTACTTTTGGACTACTAAATTATCTTAGAAATAAAAATCCATTGAAAGTTGAAGAATACGAACCCATCCTTTATTTAAGTCAAGATTATGCTTCTTTGAAAATCCAAATCCATAACCATATTTAAAAAAATAAGATAGTATCTTTGTGGAAAATTTTCAACTTTACTTTTGGACTACCAAATTATCTTAGAAATAAAAATCCATTGAAAGTTGAACAGATTTTTTTTCCATCCTGCTTTTAATTTCACCCTCATTTCTTCTCAATCCTTTTCAATTACCAGTTCAGATTAACATTTTCAGCAGTTCAACTTGTCAAAATGCTTAAGTAAATCCGGCAATAACAATGAGAGCTATCTGAATTTTGCAGCTAACAGTAAACCTTTTTCCGCCTGTTTCTTGCTTTGAATCAGAGTGTTTACCATTTTATGAGGTAAAATGAGTATTAAAAGAAAATCTTATAAAATTTTTTTTTTTATTTCCCATTTTTATTTTGATGTCTTTCCTTTCCAATTGTGATTTTTAGGTGTTTTATTTTCAATTGTTGTTCTATGTATTTCTATGTTTTTGCAATGAGAAGGCACTCAGCTAGCTGTAAGTGTGAATGATTAAGGTTCAAATCTCAGTGGCGGCTTGAAGCCCTCAGCTTTAGATCGATAGGTACTAGTTTGTCTGGGAAGTAAAGGCGGCTTGTGCGCAATGCCAGAGTCATGCTGTTGGTCACAAAATTGTAGAGCTTTAACCTCCGTGACATTCCTGAATTAACTACATAAACAATTTTTGCTCCGACTAGTAAACATCTAAAAATGTTCTTTAGTATCCGATTCACCAGGTATTATTTACATATTAGTTCATTCTAAACAGGTTGAATTTTGTTATTAAAAAATTTAATAATAGTTGCATACTTCCCAATGAGCCATTCCAGTGACTTGAGTAAATGCTGATGGATATGTAAGAATTTCAGCTCCAGATTCAGTCATGGCAAGAGAAAACTCAGGAAATCTGAGATCATAACACTTCAATGTAAAATGTAAGGTAAAATAAATAAATGTATAGCAAAAAAAATAAGTAAAACAAAGTAATTAAAAAATTGTACAACTAGAGATTATCAGTAGAAACTATGGAACAGCGCTTCACTAATATTAAACAGAATGCAACTTAATATTCAGAATTACTAACATTTATAAATCGTATGAAAGTACAGTGTCAGGGGTCTGTCTAGGTTTTTCTGAGAGGTACCTATTTTGTGAAAATTTAGACACAATTTGTGAAAAATTAAAAATTATATTAAAAAATCAACACAAAAGTATGGATTTGTCGTTTCTTAAGGCATACAAAAATAAATTTTAAGAAAAAGTAATTTGTGAAACTATCGTTTTACCTAAAGTTGAATTTGTGAAACTAACGTTTTTCCTAAAGTTGAATTTGTGAAGGTAGCGCTCAACGGTAGTAAATTCGGCCAGGACAGACCCCTGAGTGTGTTTTTTTTGCAAGTGTATTTTCATTTTTATTTAGTAATATAAGATTTAATAAAAAGGATTAAACCGTGGAAGAATCAGTGATTGAACATTCAATGAAAAATCCCTGTAGTATTTGATTGTATAAATTATAATCAAACATTAAAAAATTTTACAACACTTTCTACTTAATATGTGAGGGAAAGGCATTAGCATTTAGCGTTAAATAGCAAACTTTCAAGTGGAAACAAGTATTAAAGAAATAGCAATTACCCATCACATAGTTTCACAGGTACTTTTAAACATCCAAATACACTCTTAATATAAGGGTGCACTTCTAGCACTTTGGCTTCTAGTCCCGAAAAATTTGTAATATCTCTTCGAGACTTCTAAATAAATACTAATAAATAATTTTAATTACAAAGAAATTTTAATTTTAATATTACATTAGAAATAATTAAAGAAACTTGAAACTTTTTATACAAATATAGTTCAAGGATTTATTTTAAAACAAAAGAGTAATTTATGCACAGTTAAAAATGTTGTTCATAAAGTTCAAATCAAGCAACACAACATATTTTCTCTTGTAAAATAAACCTTTTTACAAAGATAAGATAAAAGAATACAATCTATCTAAAATCTTTAATGTCATATTTAATGGCATTCCCACATATTATATTTTGCATGATAGGAAACATGTAGCAATTGAAAGAAAATAAGGTTACATTTGTGCAGATATTATAAAGTAGAAAACAAATAGTTTACAACTTTTTTCTTGGATACTTTATTTGGATACTCTTTTAAAGTAGAAAACAACTGTAAAATATGAATAGATTACTACTTTTCTTTGGATAGTTTAATGAAAAACATATCACCTGGCGAGGGTTAAATTCTTTGCCGCTAAATTTTTTCTATTTGTTTTATTGTATATAAGTTTTGTTATTAATACAGTGTTTTTATCATTATTATAAAACAGCTAAATACAGGGTCTTATACTGGGTAAAAAAAAGTCAAGAATTAGTCAATTGATTTTAAACAGCACTACACAATCGTCCACAAAACAAAAAGCCATATACTGTCATAATTAAAGCAATTAAAATAACTCCAACAATAATTATTATTTGCAAAATTTTGTAGTGACTTTATGTTATAAGATTAACACGTTTTTAGATCTACTCCTCAAAATAAAGACAGTGTTCCCCCTAAGTGTTTTTAGAAGGGCGGCCCATCTTGCCTGTCCGTTGATGCATCCTCTATGCTCTTTTTGAAAAAATAAACCTCCATCCTTCAAAAACATTGTCGTTTTATTCATATTCCATTAAAAAAAATTATTCACTGTTTAAATAACAATTACACACTCATAAAATTATCTGTGTTTAAAGGTCTAATTCTGATTACTATTACAAATATTTTGTAGTATCATTCTCAACAGGTTAAATCTTTACAAGTTCGGGGAGTGGAAGGTATATTAATGAATTTTTAAAGTGATTGTTTGAAATTTTTCAATTAAATACCTCTTTCTCAAATGCACCTTTAAATGCTCATTATCTCATAATTTAAATGATCAATTAATCATGTTTTTTTTTAGTTTTTTTTTTCATAAAATTTGTGCACAGTGATTTTCTTTTAGAATGTCTTTTATTATTTTTTTCATAAACTACAAATTTTTCTCTTATTTTAATAATTAATGAGCATTACTTTTTAAAATACATGCATAAATACTATAAGAAAGTAATATAAAAAATTTTGAGGATCAAATTCAGTTATTACATAATACTTCACATTCGATAAATTATTGCAGTGTTAAGTCAGTGCCCTTTTCTGTGAGGAAGCACCCTGTTTTTTTTTATTCCTAGGAATAACTTCAATGAAGATTAACTATATTACGTGACATCGTATTGTTTTTGATCAATGAATTTGACATTGATCGTCTAACATTGATTTTGTCTATGCTTACTCGAAAAAATTGATCCAAGTTAAGTAATTACAGAAAAAATGTCCGATAGATCCAACTTTTGATTAAATAAAGCTTTAGCTTGCTTATAATCACTGATATTATCTTTCATATAAATGAAAACAAAAGGTGTCTAGTTTAATTCATAACAACAATATCTAATGCTAAAACAATGCTGCAGTGCGAATTTTAAGACACTAGCACAAATGGTTTTGAAGTTATACAAGACACTAGCAGACAATCTCTTTATATTATTATAGATAGTATTTTCTTAATGAAATAATATTTTATAGTCATTAGTCTGAAATACAATTTAAAATTCACCTGTAATTTGTATAAAGTATTGTAAGACATCAATAGATGCTGGCAAAAAATGATTCATTTAAAAAAGGATACAATACCTAGTCCAATTTTTCCAACCGGAGTATCAACAGGAGGAAGAACTTCTTTTCCTGGTATTGTGTAATCAGATTCTTTTAATCTTACACCTCCGGGAACATCAATATCAAAGAGGTGAATCTTACGATAAACAGCAGCAATATCGCCACTGGAATTTATTAAAATATGAGAGTTGTAAACTTTATCCTGATCTACAGAGGATCCCTATGAGATAATAAAACCAGCAAAATATAAATGAATTAGTGAAATAATAGGTGGCATTAATACAGCTTCAAAGCATACCTCCATTCAACATTGTTTTCAGCTTTTAAAAATAAGTATAATATCTGTTTTAAATACCATTTCTGTTCTCAGATTAAAAAATATTTCAATATTTATGAGTCCCGTGGCAGAATCATGGCACGAATAAGCACTTGTGATTTTTTTAAAACCTTCTTTTAAGAATAAAAAAAAAATTCTGCAATGACTGGCTTTAGCTAGAATTTCAGATTGACATTATAAAAAGTAATTTCCAAATAGCAAAAATTTAAAAAAGGTTAATTATACAAATATTTTTTAGAACAGGGGAATATTGCCGATAATAATATAACATGTATTCTTTCATATTTAGATTTAAAAAAAAAATTCTTACATTTATAATTAAAAAAATTATATACTGTTCCATTCTAGTTGTGACGGCTTTGCTTATAAACAAAAAGCACCTTTGTTACTTTAAATTAGTAATATATATATTTGTCACTAATAAAAATATCTTTCAGAAAGGTATTAGTACTAAAGAGAATTGTCACAGAAAGTTAGAAAAATTCTGCCAAAGGGTTTATGAGAAAAAATCAAAACCGCTAGATATAAATAACCGAATTATATCAGGAAAAATTAAAATACGTTTTAATTTTTCCAAAAATATAATTTGAAACATATAACATGGCCTAATGTTGAATGAATTAAAGAATGAGAAAATGTATTAAAGATTAATAAATTAAAGAGTATTATAAAATCATATTAGGATTTTATTTTGATAAATTTTATGAAGACGTAATTTTTTATAGCATTTAAAACTAGATTTACTTAAAAGTCAACAAAAAGCAATATCATTCATGATTGAATTTAGTATTTGACTGAACATCACATACAAAAGCAAATATTATTTAAACTTTTACAAACCTTTTCATGAAATCCACCTAGAGAAAGCCATATTGAATTTTGTGTAGCCAGCTGACGATAGTCAGATATCAATGCACCTTCTAAAGGCTCAGCTAATTGTATAGATTGATTCCTGCTTTCTCCAACATGATCAAAGCATTCTGGGAAAAAGACCATCTGAAACAAGCATATTTTTTTAAGCAACATTGAAAATAAAATTCATACAGAAATTTAGAGTCAATTTACAAAGTTTTTTTTCTCTCGATTTGGTGGTATGGAGATGTCCTAAAAAACATTAACTTTTGAGTTTATTCTATTATGGTTAATCTGTAGGGTTTACAAATGTACAACTTGTAAAAATATGAAGATTATAGAAGGCGGACTTTAAAACACAAAGACACTCTTAAGTAGGGTTCATGTCAGTACAGCGACAATTCTTGTTAAATGTTCTACAAATGTCGAATGGGCGACAAATTTGTTGAATGAAATATGTTTGGAATTTTAGAATAATAATTAAAAATATTTTTTTTGTATCGAATTACGCACAGTTTAAAATTTTTTTTTTATACTAATCTTCTACACTTGGTATGGCATTTGAATGTTTGGTATTCAAGTGGAATAACAGAAAGAGTCTGGTACACAATTTTTTAAATTTAAATGCTGAAATTTCAAATTTACATGTTGTGCTGTGATTTTCATTCATGAACTAACAGTGTAATTGTTTATCAATAAAATAGTATTTTTTGCTCCTTTAGAATTGACTATTTAAAAGTTTATAATTTTTAGATAGTTAATTTTTAACATAATATTTTATCAGTTCTTACTTACTCTGTTTTCCTCCTTTATTTATTTATAGGTATTAGCATTTCAATCTGTATGTTGAATCTATTTACTAATGTTAATTTAGCTCTTTTACACTTAATTTTAATAAATACTAATATTCAGTCATTATGGGCTAATAAACCTATATAGTTATAGGATGTTATAGATGGTAATTAATAATCTTCCACGCGTACCATAATATGAATTATGTAATTGTAAAGTTCGATTCCCCCTCCCCCTCAAGTTTGTCGACCATTTTAAGGTTTTGGACCACTAATTGAATACTTAAGTGCTCCTATTGGGCCAATAAATTATATTATCTCAATAACATAAAACATAATTACATAATCTCAATAAATATTAAAAATTAAATAAAATTTTATTATAAGCCCATAAAATATTTCGAAATTGTCTTCAATAAATTTTCTAAATATTAGTAACATTATAAATGAGAAAAAGGTTTTTATACTAAAACATTTCTAGCAATGGTTAAGAAATTTTAGAAAAAGGATTCTTATTAAGGTACATTAAAAAGTAATCCTAATACATTAAAAACGAATTCTATTAATCAAAATTTGCATCAGCCGAAGAAAGGTTAAACAGAATTAGTCCAATAATTTCATTTTAAAGTTTCTAACTCTAACCCCTTGTGGCAATGCTTAACCTAAAAATTAACAACAGAACATCTTTTTCAGATAGGTAATTTTGAAAATCTATAGCTTTTTTTTTCTTTAAATTTCGGTTCGTATTTCCTTTTTCTTTCTCACTAAATTAATGTATCATAGTACATAGTTTTGATATAAAAATAAATTTGGAGATTCTGTAAAAAATAAAATGTCTTTCCACCCTAAAGCTTAGTCTACTTTTCTATTAGAGATATTTTATTTTAGTTATTAAATTTAAAGAGAAGGAAACAAATTAAAAAAAATAGTTAGTAATGGTCAAAATAATATAATTTAAGCTTAATTTTTTAAAGGGTCCAACCTTTTATTTTAACCATTTTTCCATATTTCTTGTTATTTCTTCCCTCCCCCTAGTTATAAATTGCCACAATTTCACAAACCTTCCCTCCCCTCCAACTGTGTATCATTTGCGGATGGCCCCATAATGCAAATATAATAAGGATAATTATTCTTGACATACATGTCTTAGCTTTAAAATAAAATATTTTTAAAAGAGAGTTGTTATTGTATTTTAAATAGAATTTACAAATTTTGACAACAATGAAAAAAATTATAAAAAGGGGAAGATAAACTTAGATGTAATTCAAATTTTGTTAAATTTTATTTTCATTTATTTATTTATTTCACAATAAGAGCTTCGTAAGTAAATACTAAATGCTGTACTTAAAAAATCCAAATAAGTTTTAAAATAGATATAAATAGTTATAAAAAAACCCCATTTATTTCTTTAAAAAAATCTGCTCTCAAGCATTTGTTTGGAATTTCTAAATTAACTGTGAAACGAGAATACTACGATTTAGGGAGGCCACAGGGGAAAGGAGATATTAATTTCTCAGTTAGTAATACAATTGAAATTACATGCTGAATATGTAAATTTGCATGCAAATCATTACTTTTACTATTTTACATTCTTGAAAATAAAAGTTTATGTTTAACCTTCTTTTGGTCTAGATGGTAGAAAATATTTAGTATCAAATGTTTCAGTCTGTTATAAAATAAATTTGAGTGAGACTTAGAAATAAAAATTAAATTTAAAATGGAAAAATTAGCAATAACGAGGGAAGTTAGACTCTAAGCAAGCAGCAACATAAAAAATCAGGAGATATTAAATTGAGATAAATAAAAAAGAATAGGCAATAGTTAAAGAATAAAAGTTAAAAAATTGAAGCAACAATGATTTAAAATGTAATAATAAATTCACCAGAATTTTTTAATAATTTCTACCTTTGCATGGCGAGCAGCAGCCAAGTTTATAAAATTTTTACAGGTTTCAAAATTTTTCTTTCTATCTGATGTGCAGTTTAATTGACAGACAGCAATTGTTGTTGAATCAGTGGAAGCCATCGAATACAACCTTCAAGGAAGAAAAAACACTGATGTTTTTTTATTTAAATAGTATTTTTAACCATATTCATAACAAAACATTGGATTGTTTCACTTTAACTTTGTTTTTGTTAGAGTAAAGTATGTGCCATAAACTTTTGTTAAGTTGATAATTTAAACTACCAATCTTGCTTTAATTTATAACATTAAAATTGCTATGCATACATTCAATTTATTGCATTTATTCAATTTTTATATTTTAATTTAATTATACTTAAACAATTTCTTTTTAGATGCTTTTAAATCACATTTCAGCTTCAAAGTTTCATCAAAAGTTCTTTTACTTCATTGAAAAAACTGATATCATAGCAAATAAATTATACATTTCAACTATATATTTAGGATAATATACAATTAGAACATGTTACAAAATTATTTTTACTAGCTGTGGTTTAATAATTTTCCTCCTAATTTTTCACACTTGTGTTTGGCATCAAAAAGTCAATATTGACTAGTGATAATAACTAAGTACTTAATCTCTATAAATATTTGGGAATTTGTGTAAGAATTAAAGAACAGAGTGGTTGATGACTCAAAGGGATATTTTTATATATTTGAGTAAATTAGTCTTAAAGTTCAAATGTTGACAATAGGAAGACCGGTTGCACGCTGAGGAGGCAAGCGGGAGCTGAGAGGAATACAGAAAATTTGCTTCCCATAGGTTTCCACTAGAAAGTGCACATTAAGTGCAGAGTTTTTTCCCTCCAACAGGCAAACAACTCCTACGAACCTTTCAAATAGGTTTGACACTATTTTTGCTTCCCGTAAAATCTTGCCTCCTGTTCGTACATGATTTTGCTCAAAATAGGGACGATTCTGAATAGAAATAACAATATAAATGTAATTAACAACATTTCTTATTAATTATTTTAAGCTGAAATTATTAATTAATTACACTTAATTAAGTTTGAATAGGGTCTGTACTAGTTTATGTACTTTCTATTTTCAAAAAAAGTTAAGATATTTTAGTTTCTTCGCAACAAAACTTTCAACTACATTATTAATCAACTAATTAATGACAGTTTTATATAAGTCTTGAACAAAATTAATTATTGGGAGAAAGTGAAACGTGAAAGTTAAAAATTGCTCCCTAGACTAATTTTAAGCGCACAAAATTGCGCTTAATTAATATTACAGGCATAAATTATGTAATCAAAGTTTAAAAGTTCTTTTTTAAAAGTTAGGTTTTCAAGTTTAAAAGTTACCCTTTTAGTGAACTTTGATGACATTTTTGAACATTTTTAATTGATAATGATGATTAATATCTATGTAGAATTTTTCCACTTTGTAACAGCTATCATATTTGCTAATTATGGTGCACATTTTTCAAAGTAAATTGAGTTAGTTACATTAAATAACAACTTTGAAGAACAATTCTGTGCATCTAAATTTTTAAAAAAAAAACTGTTGTGAAGAAATAAGAGTAATCAGTATCAAGAATAAAATATATACAGTTTTTTTCATAAAAAGAAAAGCCGCTTATCTTCATAATAATAATAAGTTTATAAGTTTCATAATAATAGTAAGTATTATAAGTTTTCTTAATTTCTTTAAAATACATCACTAGAAAAAAAAATGTCTTTATCCGATGATGCTAGCTTACACAAATGCCGTTGCTACTGCACATTGCTGAATCTGTGCCTGCATTGAGGAGATGAACTACACTTTTCAATGTTCAGTCATTTTTCAGCTCACCCCCAGAAAACCCTCATGGTCGAGAGGCAAGAGTTAAACTAGTTTTTTTCCCCCTCCTGCTCTCATCCTCACTGTGCGGACGGCCTTATTTTAACCTTCTGCTTCTAAGCATTCATACTCCCGGTATTTTAATTTGTTATCAAAAGACAGGTTTTCTAAGATTACTTGCTAACAGAGAATAGCAAAATGCATGTAAAACATTAATCCATTCTGAAAACATTTAAACATGACATTTTGTACACTCAACTGCTAAGATCTACAATATTTAGTATTAGATAAAAGATTAAATAAGACTGTTCACCGGCTAAGCTTGTAAATAATTCATTTATAGATATATATATATAAAATTATTTATGCAAGTAATCAGTAAAGTTTATCATAAAAAATTGTATCAAACATAGACAAATTAACATATGCACACATGTAAAATTAATCTACAAACTTAGTGTCATTTTAATATCAACAAAATCCTTACCGGGAAAGGAAAACAATCTTAGCTCTAGCTACAGTACGGTCGAAAAATTTTGTACAGCAAAGTATCCTTTTAGCAGATAGTATTAAAGTCTATATAAAAGAAATATAAAGCAATGGAATGAATAATACATAGAAAATGAATAGCAACAAATTTTTTACAATTGTTTATTGGGTAATGAAACTTTCTTTGATGTTTATAATGCTCCCATAAAATTTAAAGAAAGCTTAAAGGCATAAAAGATTAAAAAGCTAAAGTCTGAATATAAGTTAATATAATTTATAAGTGATATTACAAGAGAAATACTCTAATTTTTTTTAAAAAAATAAAGATCTTTATTTGCAACTATTTTCATCTAAAAATTGAAAATAAAAATCATCTTCAGATGCCTTTAAAAATTAAGACTAAATTTTGTTAATCACATTATGTGTGTTTCATAAACACATAATAAAATTATTTTGTTTAAAAGGGGGAAATTATTTGCTGTTGGGCAGTAATTGTAAGTAATTTCAAAAAGAGAATAATAATATAAAGAGGATAAGAGAGGTAAATAAAAGTAATAATAAAAACCTAAGAATTATGAATTTATTTTAGCACTAGATTATTTTTGTGTCTGAAAAGTAACACTTCATTCTGTCATAGATTTCAAACATAATAAAAATCTTTTACTTAATTACAATTAGAAAAAAAATATGTAGAAATCATAACCTCCTTTAATTACTTTGTCAATTATTTTTGTAAAATATAATGTATCTTCACATAATAAAACAACCGTGTTCAAAATTTTTTTTTAGTTTTAAAAGGGTGTTATGAATATTATCAGATTCACTATGAAATAATAATTACATGAATTTTTCCTCCACTTCCATAAAAAAAGAAGAAAAATACTGGAATCATTTGTAACAGAATGATTTTATGTATTGATAAAGAGGACAGATTGATATACAATTGCAATATTGTAAGAGAAATTTTTATCAGGAGGTTGGAAAATCCAACAGCTTATCAAGAATGAAACAAATGCTTTTATAAGTGACAATTATAACATAAAAAAGATACTGACCTTATACAGAATCTATCTCTTTAAATATTTCTGCTACAAGCTTTATCAAAAATAAGAAATAAAGACAGTAACATACATAGTTTATTACTTAAAAACAATGAGTAATGTTGTTCCCAAGTGAGAAATAAAAGAAAATAGATAGAAGCTATGCTTACGCATTAAAACACCTAAAAAGACTTATACATATCTGTTCCAATAATAAACAAGTTTATCTTTTTTATGAGCGAAAGTATAAAAATAAAAAAAATTTAAGTTTCACTTTTTCTTCACAAAAAGTATTTAACTCTCTATTCCAAAAAGCTGAACCTTTATACAACAAGAAAGACAACAACAAAAATAGTTATGATATAGATTTTCTTACCATATCTATTTTTTCGACTTACTGTGAGTTTATATTGAAGAAAATTCCCAGGTCTAAGAGCAAAAAAATAAAATTTTCTCTCATTTCTCTGTTTACAATTTACGCTTCCAGCTGTCTATTTTTGTTATATATCATGACATTTGGTGCTCAATTTGTAAAATTAAAGTAGCATCCTATCACTTATATCGTGTCTTTCATTGGTTATTTATAAGCATTTGTAAGTGATAATCAATAAAAAATTAGAGTTTTATTAAAGTAACGATTTATATCCCTTTAATTGAGTTTTTTATTACTTAGTTGGTTTTAATAAAAAATTTGTTTTTGGTTAGAAGAAATAAGCAGCCGGAAATGTTCAAAAGATGTAAATTGTAAATTCTTGGTAATAAGTGTGTTTTTATTTTGCAAATATAATTTGTGAGACGAATTTGTTTGTACCAATAAATAAATAGTGTTTTGTTAGATTTGAGTTTAAATTTTTTTAAATGCTGAATATATTACATTATTTTTTAATGATTTTAGGTGTACAAAATTGGATTACTAATGTAGTTCAAAAAAGGTCAATTTGAAATATATTACTAACATTTCTTGTTTTTAGCAAATATAGTATTATGGAAGAATTAGAGGCTGTATATTACGTTACATCTGCCTTCGATGGTAATGAAGAAGTAGCTTCTAATTATATAATAGAACAAACTATTGATAGCAATGCAAATGCTAGTAATGAAATTGAGGATGTTTTCATAGAAACTCATGACAGTAGTAATCATGAAGAAATTTCAATGCCCGAAGAAGCCGAGAGCAAAATTTCCGAGTGTGATGCAAACGTGACAAATGAAGAAGATAGTGAGCAAGTAATGATGATGAAGGATGATGGAAGAGTAGTAATTGTTAAAAAAGGAGATGGTGGAAACATGATTCTCCATACTTTTGTTGATGGAGGTGTAATTGAAGATTGTAAGAAAGTTGACGATATTAAAAATGATTGCATTGTGAGTGATTTCCAAACTTCGGAAACAGAAAAACAGTCAAAAATTGGGGACAGTAGTGAAGTATACAATGTTGACAGTTGTAGTCCAGATGAACAACCATCCACTAGTGAAAGTGTAACAACGATAGTACACTTAGATAAAACATCGTCGAAGAAACGGATCATGGCTAAAGTTGTGAAAGGAGTAGAGCATAAAAGATTTATACAGGAAGATGCAGATGATGGTCCTGTTGTGGATAAACTAACATGCAAATACTGTTTGAAAAAATTTACAAAATCTAGTAATAAACAGAGGCATATTAGAGTGGTCCATAAAATGAAGAAGATAACAGGAAATGATATTAAATGCATTGAGTGTGACATTAATTTCAAACATGTTAACAAACTAAGGGAACATTTACAAGGTCAACATGGTTTGGATATGTCAGATCAAATACTTACCTTTCCAAATATGAGTGGTAATTAATTTATTATAATTTTTCAAACAAATGTAATGCATTTCAAGGGATATTTATACATTAGTATCTGTCGGGTATACATTAGTAATCTGTCGGATCAAATACTCACCTTTCCAAATATGGGTGGTAATTAATTTATTATAATTTTTCAAATAAATGTAATGCATTTCAAGGGATATTTATACATTAGTATCTGTCGGGTATACATTAGTAATCTGTCGGATCAAATACTCACATTTCCAAATATGAGTGGTAATTAATTTATTATAATTTTTCAAACAAATGTAATGCATTTCAAATTTATACATTAGTTTTCTGTCGGATCAAATACTCACCTTCCCAAATATGAGTGGTAATTAATTTATTATAATTTTTCAAACAAATGTAATACATTTCAAGGGATATTTATACATTAGTATCTGTCGGGTATATATTAGTAATCTGTCGGATCAAATACTCACCTTTCCAAATATGAGTAGTAATTAATTTATTATAATTTTTCAAACAAATGTAATGCATTTCAAGGGATATTTATACATTAGTATCTGTCGGGTTCACACCAGCAATGAAAAATTTAGTGGTTTAATAAGGCTAATGCTCCTCCAATTCAGGGGCTCTAAATTAAGCCGCCGAGGTGGGTTTAGTGGTTTAGCTAGATATTCATTAAAACTTAATATGGTAGACAAACTTGAGAAAATAAAATCGAACTGTACAATTACATAATTATGTTATGGTACACATCAAAAATTATTAATTGTCACCTATAACACCTTTACATTAATTACGATCATTGTCTCATAATGATAGAAGATTACTATTTATTAAACTAAGTAATAAAAAGCTAAAATAACAGTAAATAAATTAAACATAGAGACTAAATAAATTGGATGAGGAAAACAGAGAAAGAACTAACAAAATATTATATCAAAAATAAAGTTTCTGAAAATTATAAAATTTTTAATAAAGGCAATTCTAGATAAGCAAAAAATATTATTTTCTTGATGACCAGTTATACTGTCAGTATATTGCAAAGAACAGCATATAAGCTTTCAACATTTAAATTTTTTTTCCCCAGGCACATTTAATTCTTCCATTTTAATACCACGTATAGAACAATAAAATTAGTGCAACAAATTTTTTTTCAATTGCACAAAATTCAATTGAAGAACTATTTTTCATGATTATTTTGTAAATTCCAAACATATTTCAAGACAACTAGTTTATCACCTTTGCGTATAATTTTAGTGACATTTTTAGAGCGTTTGGTGACAATTCTCACGATGTTCCTGTACTGTTCTAGTTCTTATCATGGCATGCCCTTCAAATTTGCCAAATTCTGGGATTTCTTCTTTTTTGGTTTCTCTCATGGCACTGCCTGGTTATCAACAAAACTTACTGACCAGGAAGTGCAACATGAACTGCAAGGAATCAGATTCCTTGAAGAACTTTTTTGGCACCAACATCTCATTTATTCTTTGGAAAAACGGATTCCTAGTGAAATTTTTTCTTCTTTTAACTCAGGAATCAGTAGAATCACGATTCCATTAAAGCAGGAATGGACAACCTATGACTCACAATCCAAAACTGGCCCGCAAAATCTGCGATTTCCCCTGAACAATTTTAAATATTAATAAAAATATTTGAAGTATTTTTTTTTGTTCTTTTCGTATTGGAAAAATTTTTTGCTGTATTAGAAAGTTAATTTTTTTTTATTTTTAATTGTTTTTTTACTGGTTATCCTGTTTTTTTTTAAAAAATTTACTTATTGTTTTCGAGCAACTTTGACCTTGATTGCCACAATTTCTTTTTACAGTTTTATTATGGCTATAATTTCAGGGATTGCACACAAATGTAATATTTTGCAAATTTCATAGATTGCAATGTATATACATGTTACTTTCAATTAAGATATAAATGCACCTTAAGTTTATACAATTACAGTTTTATGTTACTTATGTTGGCTCCCAACATAGTATTTTTTCAGTTCCTGATGCCGGCTATCAAGAAAAAGTTTTGCATACCTGCGTTTGGGGTTCTCATTAGAATGACAATGTAAAATCTTTTGGGTCTTATATTTTTCAATGTATTCTTTCATTTTGCACACAAACTAACATTCTATTTTAATATTTAAGAGGAAAAATACCAAACACTAATTTTGAAAAAAAGACAAGACAAAAAAAAGAAACGATTTAATCGAGCAAATAAGATGTACGAAATGAAGGAATATACAGACTGTTTGTTTTAACTCGAATATGAGGTAGCTAATAAAAAATTACCACTATTTAACATTCTTTGAAAATGTGTAAAATATTCAATTGCTAATTCATTTCTTTTCATTATTTTTTAACTTTTGATGTATAAGGATATAAATAGTAAATTATTAAAGAAATGTTCTTTACATATAAAAATATGCAGGTTTAAGAAGCAAAAAAATTTGTATTAATTGGAGTGAAAAACAAAGATTAATATAAAATATTATCCAGTCATTTTATTTCTTTTTATTATTTCTTCTTAATTTTTTTAATATCACTATTAAGAGTAAAAAAATAGATAAAAATAATAAATTATAAAAGAATTACTAAAATTTAGTAAAGATTAAGGAATATTTTATAGATAGGAAGAAATATTTTTTAAATGTAAAATTGTACAGAAGGTATAAAAAAAATTATATTCATTTTAGCATTAAGGAGCTTGGAGAAGCCAAGTAATAAAAAGGATAATTTATTTTAAGACAATATGCTAGGGTGATGATTTACAATTGTTAACGAGAAAGAAAGTATATTTTAGTGTTATAATGAAGAATTTGAAACAGATGCCACCCAAAAGTCTAAAACTTCAATATTTGCTAGTTTTCTACTTTCTACCAAAAGGAAGTTGATCATTCAATATTTTTTTCATGTAGTGCATTTATTTTCTTGCATTAAACTGATCTCATTTCCCTAACTCATGAATCAGTTAATGTATTTAATTAGTTCAGAAATAAAAAAAATTGATTCTGATTGAAAATAGCGCACAATGTTATGCAGATTATTCACAAAATTAGTTCATTCCCGTCTGTTGAATAACACACAAAAAAAGACCACTCTGAATAATTTTTGAACTAATGATCAGATCTTCACGTTCTGAATTATGCTGATTTATTAGTGCAGCGATATTTTGAATTAAGAAATCAGACATAAAAACTTTCTTTTTCTAAATAAACATTTTTTTGTTGTTGTCAGATTTAGATTTTTAACCCCCAAAATATAGGGTCCCAATCTTGGAAATATACTCCCAACATTTGGTCAGGAGTGTGTTCCAAAGTTTGAACCTCTTATTGTTAAATTTGCTTTTTGCAAATATCCTCGCATATTTTTAGTGAATTAAAAATTTTTTGCACACAATTAAAAATTATTAAACTAATGATTCCACTGAGAAAATAATTTTTAGTAAATAATTATTATTTTATTTAATAATAGTCAAAGAAATTTTGAATAATAAGGTGCATAATTTTTTATTTTAAAGAAAGTAATTTGCATGGCTGATACAAAATTTGTGTAAAATCGGTCGAATAGTTCCTGAGAAGTCAAATTTAAGAAAAGTCTAATTTTTCATATGATTCTTAAATATTGTATTATGTTTAAAAGTCATTCATATGTTCCAAATTAATATATTTTTTAATCTTGTTTTTTATTTCATGAATCTATGTTGACAGAGTACAATGTTGACAGTTGTAGTCCAGATGAACAACCATCCACTAGTGAAACTGTAACAACAGTAGTTTGTTTAGATAATACTTCATTGAAGGAACGGGTCATGCTTGTGAAAGGAGTAGAGCATAAAAGTCTTTTACAGGAAGACGCAGATGATGGTCCTGTTGTGGATAAACTAACATGCAAATATTGTTTGAAAATTTTTTCAAAATCTGGGTATACACGGAGGCATCTTAGAGTGGTCCACAAAATGAAGAAGATAACGGGAAATGATATTAAATGCATTGAGTGCGACATTAATTTTAGACATGTTAACAAACTAAGGGAACATTTACAAGGTCAACATAGTTTGGATATGTCAGATCAAATACTTAGCTTTCCGAATATGAGTGGTAATTAATTTATTATAATTTTTCAAACAATGAAAATGTTTGCACACAATTATAAAGATTATTAACCTAATGATTCCATGTAGAAAATAATTTTTAGTAAATGCTTATTATTTTATTTAATAATATTAGAAAAAAATTTTGAATTGTGAGGAATATAATTTTTTAATTTTAAGAATGAAATTTGCTTGGTGAAATACAAAATTTGTGTGAAATCGGTCAAATAATTCCTGAGAAATCAAATTAAAAAAAAAAAGTCTTATTTTTCATATGATTCTGAAATATTGTATTATATTTAAAAGTCATTCATATGTTCCAAATTAATATTTTTTTTAATCTTGTTTTTATTTCATAAATCTAATGTTATAATAATAAATTTTTTTTTCAGCATTTAGGAAATGGAAGTGTGAAATAGAGCGTAAGACTTTATGCTCTTACACATTGAGACATGGTTCTCGGCAAACTCTGAAAGGTCCAAAACTTTTCTACATGTGTCACCGATCTGGTAAATATCTTCCAAAAGTGAGAGAAAACAGACAACGAATGCTCAGAATGGGTGGAACCTGCAAAATGGGAATTGCGTGCACAGCAGCAATATACTGCCAAGAGTGTACAAATGAAGTTCAAGTGCGTTATGTTCCTCATCATTATGGTCACGGTAAAGAAACTTCTTTTGTCCAACTGTCCCCTGCAGAGCAGGCAGCTATTCAAGGTAAGTAAATTACTGACTATTAATTTAAGGTTCCTAGAGATAGCTTTTAATTTTAATTTCCCTAATATCTGTGACAAGTGAACAAATAAGGAACTTCTGCCACAGAAAATTTGCTATTTTTTTTTTAATTGCCACAAGTAGGATTAAGCTTGTAAACAACATAGAATGATATTAAATTTTACTGGTAGCAACAAATACTACTAGTTTTCGCAGATAGCAACAAGTAACATTAGTTTTTAGCTCGCAACTCATAGTTCCAGTCACTCAGTAGTAAGAAATTTTAATACTGTGCTGATAAATCACAGAGCACAAACTTTGTTGTTCGTTTCAGCCCTTCACATCTTAGTCACTGCAAACATGCAAGCCTGGTTGGAAAATTACTCTCAAAACCATGTCTGTAACTTACCATTGAGCAGGAAGAAGAAGGGAAGGCAGGCATCAGCTGATGAAAATTGAGTAGAAAACAAGAGCAAACAAAGTAGTCCAAGTGGCCATAATATCTTTACTCGAAAATAATTAACATAATATCAATGCCGCGAAAAATTGCACGCAATTTTTTTTAGAAAAAAGCAAATTACGAAATATTTAAAAGCTTAGCACTGCAGTCAAGAACTCTGCCATCTAGCAACATGTTTAGCACAGAAGGTACACATAGATAATCTCCATTATAAAGAAAGTGCAACCTCAATGGATTGGCATATTTGATGCCGTCAAACATCACTCATCTAAAAATATTTTAAAAAATTAAATTTTCCTTTTATATTTGTTAATGGTATTTTATGAATTTTTAATTTACATTTTGCATAGTACAGAATAATCACAATTATACAAACCTCTTTTATCTGAATACTTTCATAAGCCAAAATTGATTCCCAACTATTTAATTGTTTGTTTACTTAAAAAAACAAACAAACAACTAGATTTTGTTTTTCACCTCATTTGCACTAGTTTACTGTAATGAATCAGCGATAATAGGCTAATGGGTATGATTCTAATTTTTAAGTTGTGGTTAGCAAAACTAGGTATACTCTTACATTATGAAAGCAATGATTATGCTAGAGTAGTATCTAATACTAGTCTTATAACTGCTACAGATATGTACCATTTTCATTTTATTAATGCTACTTTTTTCACATGCGTGAAACTTAAACAAGTTGGTGTATTTTTCCTTACTAAATTATTCAAAATCGTCATTTTTCTTTAGAATAGGAAAAGCTTTTATTGGTTAAATACTAGTCAGCATAAAGTGGGAAAACAAAGGTGTACAAACTAAAAATTATTTTATAATGCTTGGCTTATTTAAAAGTATCAGTAAATATTAAAATGATAATATGCATTCTGTTGTTTTTAGAAAGTGTATCAAGTGGAGTGCCTTTTGAGAAATTGTTAGATGATATAAAAGACAGTGAGTATAAGGACACTTTTCAATTGCACTTGATGAAGAGAAGAGATATCCGCTGGATCAATTGCGCCTTCAATGCTGAAGAATACAATCCTGGCATAAGTGATGCAGAAAGTGTTGAAAATTGGGTTAAGCGGTGCTGCCAGATGGAAGATTCACCTGTCCTCTTCTACCAGCAGCAGAACATTGGTAGCGATCAGGAGGAATTCATGCTGGTTATAATGACTGAATTTCAAAAACATATCCTTCTGTCAGCTCAAAGAAATGTTGTGTGTTTAGATTCCTTGTACAGACGAAAAGGTGGTCGATTTTATTTAACTGTTCTGTTAGTGATGGATGAATTCGATAATGCATTCCCAGGAGCCTTTTGTATAAGTAATAAGGTTGATAAAGGTATAATTGAGCAGTTTCTGATGTCCATCAAAGAATCTACTGGAAACTTGTCTTTTAAACATTTCATGTCTGACAATGAATCCTTTTTCTACGAGTCTTGGATGAGCGTCATGGAGGATGAACCTCGTTGGCTCTGGAGCATATTTTACATAGACAGTAAAATCAGGACACAGTTAAAAGTATTCAAGGGGAATGTTGCTGGTAGAGCCGAAGTTTACAAAACAATGAGAACATTATTAGAATGTCAAAATGAGAATGTCTTTACGTGTATGTTTAAAAACTTTGTCGAGTCTCTTCAGAAAGACCCTACAGCAAAAAAATTGGGAGATTTCATTCAGAACAAATATGGATCCAACACTGAAATGTGGGCTCTTTGTTATCGTAAAGAAGTGAATTTAAGCACTAACATTCATTTGGAGGTAATGCATCGTACTTTNGAATGTCTTTACGTGTATGTTTAAAAACTTTGTCGAATCTCTTCAGAAAGACCCTACAGCAAAAAAATTGGGAGATTTCATTCAGAACAAATATGGATCCAACACTGAAATGTGGGCTCTTTGTTATCGTAAAGAAGTGAATTTAAGCACTAACATTCATTTGGAGGTAATGCATCGTACTTTTCGTTACTGCTGTAGGGAAGGCAGGAAGAAAAGGCTCGATAAATTTTTATTTGTTGTGTTGAAGCTTGTCAAGTACAAAATGCTCGACCGCATATCAGATATGTTAGATAGTGATAAGTTGAATTTGGCTATCGGAGCAATAAATATGTGCCATACATCAGGATTAGAAATACCAGGAGATCAAATGTCTGCTCTTTCTGAAAAGATCTGGCTTATTAATACAGATAGTGATGAGGAACCTTTGTATGTTACCAAAGAATTAGATAAATGCCCAGAACACTGCAGTCTTCGGTGTGATGAATGTGATATATGTGTGCATCAATATTCATGCACATGTGTTCACAGTATGATTGATGCCAATCTTTGTAGGCATATTCATGCAGTAGTGTGGAAATTTTTAACTCCTCATTTTTCTCCTGCCTCATCACCCTCCCATAGTATGATCCCCATAGATGATGACATGGAAGTTACAGTGAACACTTGTACTGATGTATATTATGGGAGTATTTTGAAAAAAACCCATGAAGTGTTTAGAAAAATCAAAGCAAATAAGTGCAACTTAAATAAAGAGGCTCTCGACTCTATTATGAAAAGGCTCAATGAATGTGTTGATATTTGTGCTGGAAAGAAAGTCGAAGAACCTCCAAAAAAAGTACCTCCACTTCCAGCTGTACCACCTAATACTGTTTATGTTATAAACCCTTACAATAAAAATCCAGCACAGCCTTATATACTACCAAATATATTGCCATCACCTCAACCAATTAATAATTCTTCCCCTGTATCGCAATATGTTATGCTGCTACCCAACAATGGCAGAATACTTCCTAAACTATGAGAGTCATCAATTTGTCTATTTCTACAAAATGAGCTTATGAACTAATGTTTTGTATTGTATGCAGCAGATGATTATATTAGTTATCTAACAAATTGTTATTTTGTACTCTAAAAATTAAGGTTTAAACCTATTGATGTATAATTTGTTATTTTACTTTTTGTTGACTTTTTCATTGGATGACAATATATAAAAGGTAAATAAATGTTATAATAAAAATTGCAAAGATTGAGAAAATAGTTTATATTTATATTTTTAAGTCTTAATGTTGTTTTTTAAATTCAATGTTCTTTGTTACACTGCATAAACTTATGAACTTGTTCATGTATTTCAGTCATCGTAACATTTTTCCTTGTACAAAATTTCCATGCATTTATTTTGTATGTATGCAGCTTATTCTAGGAAATGATTTTAGCTATAAGCTTTATTATTATAATTTACTATAAATTACCTAATAGCTGTGAATAAACATAATAAAAGTTTCTGCGTTTGTGCATGCTTAAAATTTTATTAAAATCGATTACTATGATAACCTGTTCTAGTAGTTAAACCTTTGAGGAATAACTAAACCNGAAAAAAGCACCTTTAAAAGCTTTTAAAAACGAAATCTCCCAAAAAGCACCTTTAAGTACTTTTTACAAATGCTACGCACCCTGAATAATTGTTAATTACTTAAATTACTGAAGTTAACTCTTAATTCAATACACAAAAACACACAATGATCTATGCAGTAGGTTGTTATAGCTTATTTTTTATGTTTATATAATGATTACATCAATCATTCTAAGTTTTGTTATTTAAAAGTCCGATATTGATTTTGCTAAATAAAAATCTGAAATATATGTTACGGACGGGGAGTGTCGATGAAGCTTCAAAGCAGTCTAGGGTTGCGTTTTAAAGCTTTTATTATAACAAAAAAACACTTAAATGACAATAGAAAATAATTAGAGCTGGAACATCTTAATGAGCTCGCTCCCCGTAGCCGTTCAGTGAGTGAATGTAGAGGGAGTCTGCTCAACTACAGGTGGCGCTGCATGGCGTATGCAACACTCTGCCATCCTGACTTAGTCGGTCTTCGACTAATTGCTTTAAAGGTAAATATTAAACATCACAACAAAAAGAAAATATTGACGACATAAATATTTTGACAATTGAATTGAAATATAAAACAGTAAATTAATGAAAATTTAAATCTAAACTAATTCTAAATATATTCAATTTTAATATAATATATAGTTGATTAAGTAAAAATGCACTTTTCAAAATTATTA